TTTGAAAAAACAAATAAACATGTTTGTCGGCTGTTATGAAATTTGTTGGATCACTTCATAAAATACAATATTTTCCCTCCTGAAAATATTTATTAACCAATAAATTTCTGAGTTTAGTAAAATCTGACCTTTAGGTTCCTGGAGCTTTTTATCCTTTATAAGTATTCGAGATGTTATGTTAGTTATTTAGTTTTCAGTTTTTCATAAACATTGGACCAAGGTCGGTTGTTTGTTGTTGCGGACAAGATGTACTCTCAAAAATATTTTGTATATTTATTTGAGTATACTTTACTACAAAAGCTTGGCGATTTTCAATTAAGCACATTTAGAGAATATGAGCCAAGTTATTGTCAACACAAATATTAAGTAGTAGTATAATACAGATTCCTGCCTGCTGAAATTCTGACTACTACAAAATTACACGCATTCGTAAAACAACGCAAGTAAGTCACATTGTCATCTGTAGACACATACTCTTTCTTCCATCATATTAACACAAATTGGTTCGTGTTAAGTTAGTTTTCTGTTTTTGAAACCTGACATTGAAATAACGATGTTTTGTCTCCGGAAAAGTGTTTGGAGACTGGAAAATAATTCATTAACCACTTGGCCGTGTAGACGTTTTTGAACACTGTGAGGTGAGGATTTGGAGCCCGCAATCTAGATATGACAGCTGTACTCTGTTTGTTGTTTGATCTGCATAGATACAGTATAGTAAGCCGAGTCATACAGCATTGTTATTCCCTTGAATGATATTTTGACGTCTGCGACTCATAGTTAAAACTGTATCTTTTGTTTGCTATCATAAATTATCTGTTCTTACATTTGATCTGTTTTTTTTTCTGTTCTTTTCAAATAAGCTTGTCTAATAGTTTTTTCTCTTTGCCGTCTGAATCTGCCATCAGCAAAGTTTAATTTGCGGAGTACATATTGCCAAGGTTACGTACGCCGATAATAAATCCTGATATGTTTTTGTTCTTTTCTTGATTTGAAAATTAAATCGGTAAAAGGGAAAATAATAACTGTATAGAAAAAGAAAAATAACTGGAAGTAGGAATGTAATCAATTTATTTTCTATAATAAACTCAAATATATAATAAAAATAAAACTCATGTTGGATATTAAAGAGATCCCCATAGCAATGGGCAAATGTCTACCGCTTTTCATTTGGGTTGGTAGATTTTACGAATTAGATTGGGTTGGTAGATATTACAATTTTTCTAACTTTGCCTAAACTTTAATGTCAGACATAGTATTTTTATCATTATATTTGAAACTATAGATACATAATGGCTATATTTATACTTGGGACCATACGTAAACATGGCTCATTTGATTTTTTTAAATTCAGACTGTAAACATTGGTCGGCTTTATACATGAAACTATTGATAAACGTCTTTATAATTGAGACGAGAGATAAATATTTGCCGGGTTCATGCTTCAGATTATAGTTAAATATTGTTTGTCTTTATGCTTGGAACTATATGGGAAACTGCGTGGATATATTTATTTACGCGCATATATTGCAACCAAATAGACTGCTCACATTCACACACATACGCACGGAAACACACACACACACACATATATATATATATATATATATATATATATATATATATATATATATATATTAGGAAATTACACAGAAAACATGTCACAATCGCAACACAACTGCAGCCGTGTTTTGATGTGTATCTATGCATCTCATCGTTCTCCTAAGGTTGGATTAAATTTAGACTCGCCTAATGAGATGCGTTGATACGCATCGAAATATGCAATTGTCTTGCGATTTTAATGTTTTCAGTGTAATATCGTGAAATAAATAATATTGTTCTACTTTGTATTGAGCCCTCATAAATTAAATGCTACGAACTATGGAATTGTACTCTATTCGTCCTCATCTTAACTGTATATATATATATATATGTGTGTGTGTGTGTGTGTGTGTGTGTGTGTGTGTGTGTGTATAGATATATAAAAGAAAAAACAGACCACTTTCAGGTACCATTATAATAATTTATTTAACTAGAGTCCTTTATATATATATATATATATATATATATATATATATATATATATATATATATATATATATATATATAAATATAAATTATTCGCTCTGACTTAACATTGAGCTCTCAAGATTTCATCCTCCTTGGGATTATCCATACGAATTACCAAGATTTTTCACTTTACTTAAATATATATATATATATATATATATATATATATATATATATATGTCAAGAGAAAAACGTGTTTCGTCCTCTGAAGGACTTTATTCATTTTGTTCCTTTAGAAATAGGCTCTATCTGAAAATAATTTACACAAACACACACAGATATTATATAGGTACCTCGACTAGATCGCGTAAAAAAGCAGCATAGCATGATGAAAAAAGGACCATAACTTAACAAAAACAAAGTTTTGTCACCAAAATGTTTATGTTATTCTTAAGAGGAAAGACCAAAGTAATTTTTTTATTTTTTGAAATTTTTTACTCCTTTCTAGCACGTTCAAAATTTTGGTTAAAGATCTTGTTTTTTTTTTCTTTTACGACAGCGAGTCGAAAAGAGAAAAAAAGGTTGGGTTTATTTTGCGCTTTTCCCGCGGAAAACACACATTGATTTGGAAATGTTTGCAAAATTCAAATAATGCTCAGATTTTCATGACACTTTCAGGAAATATTCAGAAATTAATTAAATTATTTTTTAATTTTTTTTTTTTTTAGAAAATCTTGGTAAAAATATTTTTTACATGTTTCCACCCCCTTACATATTTTCATGAAATTTCGAGAAATTAAATTTTTAAGAGTGTTTTTTTTTATTAGTCAAAACAGGACTCTTTAGAGAAAGTAAATCATCAGATTTTTTTTTTTGTAAAACAGTTACCTGTTTCATCGAAATTATATTCTGAATTGTAAAAGAAAATGCAAAAAAACTAACATTATTTAATCAAAAAAAGCTTTTAATTGCTTTAGTAAATAAGTGATATTAAGTTCATTATTGTCTGAAGAAATTAAACTTTTTCGATGAATAATGTATTTTTACAAGAATTTTTCATTTTTTTTTTATTTTAATTATAATAATAAATATAATAATAGTTCAAAAATCGTTTAAAAATTCTTCGTTGCTTATAAGCATGCAATTTGATGATATCGTTAAGTGAAAAGTAAATTTACGAATCGATATTTGAAACGCTCATAACAGCCGTTTGAATCCGAATATTTTCAAAATAATTTTAAAAATAAATTTTTAGTAAAAAAGCGTTCCTATTCCTAGCTATGGGGATCTATACATGACATAATCCTTAAAAGGGTCACATGAGTTGAGTCGTCTGCCGCACTAACATCATTTCTCTTCAATATCCAGTTCTGTTTCACATCGTTACCGTGTTTGCAAAAAATCTTTTCAAAATTTCAAAGTAAGTTTTAATTTTTGTTAATTACTTTTTCACTAAATATTACATAATGCTGAATAAATGTTAATATTTAGAAATTACTAGTTAATACCCAAAAAAAAACACGTTCGCTTACATTTCGTAAAATTATGTCAATTTTGGTCATACATAGTAACTGTGATCACCTCGTAACTACTCAATAACATCGATAACGTCATGACAAAATTCAGACACATCGTTAAGAAATGTTTGGATACCATTTTTTATGCTATAAGTAAGTAATGTTTGTTTCAAATCTGATTAATTTAACTTTAAATTTTCTAATTTTACTCAAATAACGTGTCAAAACTATATAACTTACTTTAGGAAGACGTTTAAAATCGATTTTTTTTGTTTACAAAGTTCTTAAAGTTTAAGCAAATGGCCGCTTTTCAGGAAATAAAAAAAATCGAGGATATATTTGACATTCCAATCTATATAATTTCTATCTGCAATACACCAGAACATTTTACTTGAAATAATACATTTAATCCTTTAGCTTTCAATTAAAGCTAAACTAAAATCTTTAAGAATGCTTTTCATTTTTAAAAATTCATATTCAAACTTTGGTATCGAAAAATTTATCGGAGGTACCTAGTAATATATAATATATATATATATATATATATATATATATATATATATATATATATATGAAGAAATATAGTCTTAAGATCTGCTATATTTATGGCATAAAGTGCTCAATATCAGGGATAGAGCGTGTGTAAATATAAAAGTGAACATTGAAGTCAACACTTAGAGGCGACAGTCTGTTCCATGCGACAGTCTGTTTCATGCTAGATGCAATCACCAGGCATGTAACAGACTGTCGCGTGTTGTACTTCTATGTTCACTTATATATATATATATATATATATATATATATATATGTGTGTGTGTGTGTGTGTGTGTGTGTGTGTGTGTGTGTGTGTGTGTGTGTGTAAAAATATATAGAAAATAAGAAAGAACTCGTTAGGTAAATAATCCAAAGTTCTATAGTATTTTTGTTATTATTTTTAAGAAATAGTGCTTATTACAAAAGTAGAGCATAAATATAATTATTTATTTAAAAATATGATTCCGACACTACATGAGAGTTCTCCTGTTTCAAAACAAGAGCCGAAAACGTCAATATAATTATTTGAATTAAACTGAATTAAAGTACCAAGCTCTGTTCCATCTTCAAGCGAAATGTTTTTGGGAATAACTAATTCTTGAAATTTATGCGTTTTATAAGCATATTCATTATTGAAATTAAAATTAGTATGGTAACGGCTAGAGCAATTATTTAATATTATGCTTTATTTTCCATAATTTATGGAAAATAAAGCATAACAAAATCCACATAGCAACCAAAAACGTTTGCAGCACCTCTCATCTTTTCTTCATATATATATATATATATATATATATATATATATATATATATATATATAATACGTATTTAATATGTATGTAATATGTATATTTATGTTCATTTAATATATACAAGCATGTATGAAATATTCTCATTAGTTTCATATATTCATTCTTTTCTTTTCTTTCTGTTCTAGATTAGACAACCCATTTCTCCCCTTTCTTTCTTCTTTCTTTTCTTTCTTTCCTTCTTTCTTTTCTTTCTTTCTTTTCTTTCCTTCTTTCTTTCCTTCTTTCTTTCTTTTCTTTCTTTCCTTCTTTCTTTTCTTTCTTTCTTTCTTTCTTCCTTTTCTTTCCTTCTTTCTTTCTTTCATTCCCTTCTTTCTTTCTTTTCTTTCTTTCTTTCCTTCTTCTTTCCTTCTTCTTTCCTTTTCTTTATTTCCTTCTTCCTTTCTTTTCTTTCTTTCCTTTTTTCTTCCTTTCCTTTCTTTTCTTCTTCCTTCATTTTCTTTATTTCTTCCTTTTTTCTTTTTTCCCTCTCCCTTTTTTTTTTTTTTTTTTTTTTGCTTTCTTTCTCTTTGCTTTTACTTTCTTTCCCTTCTTTCTTAGCTTCTCTATTCCGCCTTCATATGATTTTAACAAGGGTGGAGCAGATGCCTGTGTAGGAAATCCATTTTATACCCACTCTCCTTCCACACTTTCTTTCTTTCTTTAATTATCTATCCCAGTCATTTTGTTACGTACGTCTCTCTATATCCGGCCATAAATTGATTAAAGAGTAAATATAAATGATGGTGAAGTTGATTGGTATTCACGCATGCGCACACTGATTCACTCAGTGAGTGAGCGTCTCTCTGAGAGACTGCTAGACTTATGGCGATATATATAATGAGATAGATACATATATAGAAAGAGAGATACCAAGAGAGAGATAGAGAGAAGACTTAAATATTTCTAGAATTGTTGCCGGACTGACAAACCCATTGGTTAGAAAAAAATGGAAGAATATGTGAGTAAGACAGAAATAAATGAAGAAATAAGAAAGACATTGAATCAATTTCAATTTCATATTGCATACACCCGTCGCTTTAATGTCCTGTCAGCATTCGCTTAACTTCCTTTTGTCTATCACAGCACAAGACGTCACATTAAAATTTTAGACTAAATAGTCGCGTATGAAGTAATATGTCGGTCATTGTCACGCTAGTGAATACGCTTTCATTTTCAATACGACAGAGGAAAGAAGAAAAAAAATGTAATTGCAACAATACCGGACATTTCAGGAATTGCTTTGTTGAAAAGTGAATCATTCAATTTCGTCTCTGTGGGACTCACACCTTATCTTCGAATCAGTTGGCCAAAAAAGAAATCGAATCTACCATTGTCATTTTCGGTCTAGAAGAGATTGCCAAGGTGTAACTGATACGTACGGCTTCTTCGGCTTCTTCTTCTTCTTCTTCTTCTTCTTCTTGCATTTGCATATTAAACACCTAAAGACTTCTGGTTATCGTTGTAGATTGAATGACAGAAAATGTCCAACACTTTTCTCCGCAATACGGCAATGACTTGCAGTGGAGAGTTTAATTTTTTTCTTTCTATTTTTATGATATAATTCTGTTTGTTCCTATGTCACTTAGCACGTACGTTATGTCTTGCCATTACCTGTGATAATTAATTAACCGTTCGGTTTTAGTGCAAGGGCAGACAGAAGGAAAAATTATAGACACTATATGGTTCGTTGTAAGAAAATAAAAGTATACATAAGAAGAAGAAGAATTTAAAAAAGAAAGAAGGCAAGACAGAGAACATAGATTGAGGCGATAATGCTCTCATGCACTTAACGTCTACTTCCGGAAAATGGAAAACTCTCAATCTTTATATTTGTACCCTCTTCTTTAAATAATAACCTGTATTCATCTTTATCATTGTTTTTGCAATATTTTATTAAATCTGGTTAGCTCAATTATTTAACTCTGCAATAAGGGAATTTCCACAGGATTTATATAGTCGCAGTAAAGAACTAACTTAATTAAGAATGGATTCAAATTCAAATAGGAAAGCCGTGAAATTTTCACGGGTGTTAATGGTTAATCAAATTCTGATTGCGGTGTTTTTGATATGATTTCAATTGCCCCAGCGATTATACAGGCGAGGTCCTGATATTTTCTCGAAGTATTCCCCTGCCACAACGATCGTGTAGATCTTTATTAAGATAAGTTTAGATTTATTTCATTTCTAAGGCGTCGGCAGTCTGGATTTCAAATTTCTGGAGTATCATTACGGTATTTCTTCTCAAAGATAGAATATATCAGTAAAAGAACAATATGACAAAAGACATATATATATATATATATATGTGTGTGTGTGTGTGTGTGTGTGTGTGTGTGTGTGTGTGTGTGTGTGTGTGTGTGTGTGTGTGTGTAACGAAAATCTTGGTAATCCGTATGGATAATCCCAAGGAGGATAAATTCTGAGATCTCAATGTTAAGTCAGAGCCAATAATTTAATTTAAAGAAAAACAGACAAATTTAAGGCTCCATTAGTTATAATTTATTTCACCAGAGAATTTTATTTTTCTCTGGATCTTCAGACTTCACTTTCAGAGTTAAAACGAAAAATGAATTTAAAATTTACACTTTTGAAGGATAGTATTAAGCTTATATAAGGTGACATAGAGGGTGGTGAGGAATAGTGTGAGAGACATGGTCGAGTTTATAGAGGGAAGGGCGAGTTTTAAATTTTATTTTTATTTTTATTACAATATTCAGTATTAAGGAGGAGTGGGTAAGGAACAGATATTGACCTATTTAATCGGTCAACTCAAAAGAAATGATATGGAAAAAGGAAAAAAAGAAAAAAGTGGGAAACGAATATATATATATATATATATATATATATATATATATATATATATATATGATAAGTATATCTGTAAAAGAACTATATGAATAAAGGCAAAAGGGAAAACTTATTTTAGCCGATACGTTTCGTTTTCTGAGGGACGTTATCAAGGCAAATGCGAGGATTTTATTTTGCGACAAGTATTTATATACAAGAGCAAGAATGCGCGGATATTGTTAGTATTGTCTTTATTTATGCATTTATTTCTGTCAGTGGCGAATAACAGTTCATTCAGTATCCTTATCTACTAAATATTGAAACTTTTAATTCGTGCATTTACAACTGAAGTTTCCCATTAAGTCAATCATTTAACGCTATCATCTATATGACGATTTTGATTTCCAAAATCTTTGGATAGCATTTATTAGTATCGATTTTTGCACGAACCGATAAGAATGAAAATAGTTTCTTTGATGAATTTGAAATTTGTATTGATAGGGTAACTGCCTCTTCATTTTAGTATTTGGAAAAAAATTATATTTGTGGAATTTTTTGAGGAGTAGAAATTGATTTGTCTTGTGGCTTTCACCAATAACGTTTAGATATTGAAGGAAAAACTATTTAAATCAATTCTTTTTTATTTCTAGCTTTAAAATGATTTTGAAAGCGGATATTTTGCAGCCGTTCAAAGTCGTGATTTTTTCTTCGATCACTTGTGGAAGATTTTCTGAACTGTTCTGATTTGTTCTTCAAACGAAAATAATCAATCTTTTTTTTTTCTTCAGAAACAAAATTTAATATTTACCGATGAAAGTATCTTTCGCTGACCAAGTGCACTGACAGACAAAACAATCCGAAAAAAACCGCTGCAGACTACATACTCACAAAAGACAGGATAACATCTTATATGCAATCTTATATTGTCAAAAAACAGAGTGTGGCACCCATACACGCACACGCGCCTCTTCTTCTTCTTCTTCTTCTTATTATTATTATTATTCTTTTTCTTGTTGTTATTGTTGTGTTCATCTTCTTCTTCCTCTTCTTCTTCTTCTTCTTTCTTGCTCCTGCTCTTGTTGTTGTTGTTGTTGTTGTTGTTGTTGTTGTTCTTCTTCTTCTTCTTCTTCTTCTTCTTCTTCTTCTTCTTCTTCTTCTTCCTGCTCTTGTTGTTGTTGCTGTTGTTCTTGTTCTTCTTCTTTCTTGTTCCTGACTTGCTGCAGCTGTTGTTGTTGTTGTTGTTCTTCTTCTTCTTCTTCTTGTTCCTGCTCTTATTGTTGTTGTTGTTGTTGTTGTTCTTCTTCTTCTTCTTCTTCTTCTTCTTCTTCTTCTTCTTCCTGCTCTTATTGTTGTTGTTATTGTTGTTGTTGTTGTTGTTGTTCTTCTTCTTCTTCTTCTTCTTCTTCTTCTTCTTCTTCTTCTTCCATCCTCCTGCTCTTGTTATTGTTGTTGTTATTCTTCTTCTTCTTCTTCTTCTTCTTCTTCTTTGTATTGTATCTCTTCCGGGTGTTGACAATAATGGTTCTCTACAACTTCCTCTCCTTTGTACCACTTAGTAAGGTTTATCTCTTTGTTATTGATGTCGGCCCAAAGTTGGGACCACGGAAGGAAAACACGGAACACGGATTAGAGGTAAGAAAGATATATTAAACACAAAGGTTACAAAGATAGTGTAAGTGTAAGCGGAGCTTACTATGTGCAAGTGTCCAATATTGGTAGTCGTACGCGGCTGATACTACGGTATTAGAATACTCTCTCTCTCTCTTTCCTCCTCTTCTCATATGAGTATTATATCGCATACTTTATATAGTCCTGGAAGAGTCCATGTTGTAAGTATGTTACGGTCTCACAACAGTTATCTTCCTTAGTCACTCTTTCCTGTCGAATATTTAGACAAGGTCGTTTGGTATGTGTTTCACTGCTTTCCCCCTTTTCGTGTGTATACAATATATCTTATGAGTCAATACGCCCTCCTTCCTCACTGTGCCCTAGAAATTCAATTTTCTGTTTCAGATTCTACGTATGTCTTTCTTTTACATTTATAAACCAGTTACTTTTTCATAACATTAGAATACACTTTCGTCCACGCAATAGTTTAAAAAATGAATGAACATTCCATTTGTAAAGTTTATATATATATATATATATATATATATATATAAATGTATATGTATATATGTGTGTGTGTGTGTGCGTGTGTGTGTGTGTGTGAAAAATATATAGAAAATAAGAAAGAACTCGTTAGGTAAATAATCCAAAGTTCTTTAGTATTTTTGTTATTATTTTTTAAAAATAGTGCTCGATACAAAAGTAGAGCATAAATATAATTATTTATTTAAAATCATATTTTGAAATAAATAATATATATATATATATATATATATATATATATATATATATATATATATATATATATATATATGCCTTCTGAAATCATTTGGAATGTTTCAACATGTATCAAGGATATAGAAATGACTCGATATTAACTTGTATGTCTTGGTTTTGTTCAAGTGTCTACAGCCATCTCAGTCATTATTAAGACCTAAGTGTTGTTAGCATCGTAGGAATTTTTACCTGCATCGTAGCATTTTTTAATGTTATATTTGAATGTTAAATATACGTTTATCGTTCTAGTAATTTCATGTGAAGGACGTTCACACAGAGGTTCTAAAAACATCCTATATTTATTAGTTTATGCATATTAATAATTTATATATATTTTAAATCATTTTATACATTAATTATTAATACTATCTTCTATAGTTAAATGTATGTGAGTTGTTTCTTTGTAAAATTATGATTTTGTTTGGTTTGTTTTGTTTTACGGCATATCAAGCTCAATGGGTTATTTAATACCGACAAGATTCTTATTGCTAG